CAATCTTCTCATGCGCTTAATTTTAAGTGCTTTGGCATTTTTTTCAAGAAATTCCACTGCTTCTGTATTTCCTGCTATAATTTTACACTGAGGATACATGTAATTTGCGATGCCACAATAAGGTGATTCTACACCACGGTCAATGCACCATTGTTTGGCTTGAAGGCATGCCTTTCCCAGCTGTGCATCTGGGGCGTAGAGTACCTTTAGTAAATATGTTATATATCAAAATTGAATGCTTTAAATAATATTAACTGATTACCATTGCCATTGCTCCGGATGCTTTATCACATGCTGCTTGCATTGCATTAGCACGTACTTGTACAAGTTTTAACGCTTTGTCAAACTGTAAAGCACCAGCAAACACTAGGGCTGTGATTTCCCCAAGACTGAAGCCCGCGGTAGCTACACAGTTTTCTATAGCACGCGGCCTTTCTTCACGAAGTTGTTCAAGTGCTGCTAATGATGAAACCATAACGGCTAACTGTGCATATTCTGTACGATTTAATTTTTCAACTGGCCCTTCCAGACATATTTTTAACAAATCATATTTCAATATCTCATTTGCAAATTTGAAAAGAGAGAGTGCACGTGGAAAGCGTAGTAATTCTTTACCCATGCCAACATATTGTGTACCTTGACCAGGAAATAATATAATGGATGTATCTTTCGGATCAACGCCTGGACGCCGTGGTAGTTCATTTTCGAATTCCTTCAAAAGTGTATTTCGTTTCGATTCGTCATTGTCTTGTTCTGGCTGTGGATTACTCTCAAGGGATTGATCTTTAACAGCACAAAAGTTCCGCAAATGTGTCAAGTTTCTGTATGGTTTATTGTTTAAAATATCTCTGATGATTTTCTTTACTATAATCATATTCGTTATTCACTTTTATGTGTTATTAAGATAATGTCTTATAATGTGTTCAATATAATGTATTTATGTAAATACATATCAGATCATATGTTTGCCGGTTAAAACATATGTTTAACGTCATTGCAGTGAAGATCACAATAGTTTTACTACATACTCTACTTACAGGGTGCTCTTACTTCCTTGTGTAAGATGTATGCATAAATTGAATCCTTACATGCCATTTAAACTTACAATTAACGAATTGCATAAGCAAATTTTTGTGTAGATTTTGTTTGAATAATGACATTTGTTGTAGTTGTATGTAATATTATGTTTCCACTGCAGCTAAAACTACTTATGTTAATGAAATTAGGTTTTCGACGTTCCTATTCACTTAGGTTGATTTATGCATGCGAAATAGTTTGTTTGTTTACATTTTACATATAAAACATTTGACAAATCTTGTAAATTTTGTTAATTTTAAAAAATTAAACTTTATTTCTAATAATTGAATTCGACATTTTTCGCCTTAAGTGGTGTTGATTTATTTATAATGAGCTCATTTATATGAAAGCTTTTTATATTGTTAATTATATTCATTAGTGGCCTTAATGAGAAAAATTGTCTATATGAGACAGTGGAAACATGGTATAAAAGCAAAACATATAAAAATTAGAACATAGACCTTCGTATTATTTTTATTGAGCATTAAATAGGTCTTATGTTAAAGTATAAAATTTTTTGCAAATTGTTGGAAAATAAGTGTAACGTCAAAATTTGACATTTTAGCAAATTAATATGCAAAAGGTCAAGTTAATTTGTTATGTCTAAAAATTAATATTTTGTCAATATATAAGAATTTTCATAAATGACAGACAATATCTTAAATATTGTTAAACTTACAATACTAATTACTAGCAGTTTTTCTCCTTTTAATCAGACATTTTGTAATTCCAATATTATTTATGAAATATATCGCTAAACATAACTAACTGGTTTATAAAAAATTGAGATATATTGATTTATTAACAATTTTTGTTAATTCGATATATCTTATATTTGGGTACTAATACAAGAATTTTTACATGAACTTGTAGTGAAGGTTATCATTAAAGTTACAAGGACAAATTATTCAGCAGAATAATTTCAGCAGAAAATTTGCGTAATCGTCTGAATATTGTGAATGAACAGTGAATAAGAGTAAGCATTCAGTAGTCGTTATCATTGCTGAGAATGTTTGTTTACGTTTACAATCTATGTGTGTAATTGCTAAGCACTTCTATTACAAGTGCATTTGTCATGAATAAGTAATCAAGTGTCCGCGAAAATGAGCAGTCCAAGTCACAGAAGTTCATTGCCAGTGCCGGAAGTGCGGATTTTATGCTTTGACTTAAGTTACTATAATAAAACTTCACAGTTTCTGTTAAGTTGTGCCGGGGTTTTTGTGTTATATTTACTTTATGGGTATTTACAAGAGCTTATTTTCACAGTAGATGGTTTTAAGCCATTTGGATGGTTTTTAACGTTAGTACAATTTGGATATTATATCGTTTTTGGATTAATAGAACGCAAAATTGAAGAACGTCGGCATGAAAATGTAACAACTGCACGGTGCATACCCATGAGAACATATTTTTTGTTAGCAGCATTGACGCTTGGTACCATGGGACTATCAAATTCTAGTTTAGGTTATCTAAATTATCCAACGCAAGTGATATTTAAGTGCTGTAAACTTATACCAGTACTTCTGGGTAGTATTTTAATACAAGGGAAACGTTATGGACCACTTGACTTTCTTGCTGCAATTTCCATGTGCATTGGCTTAACATGGTTCACATTAGCAGACTCACAGTTATCTCCTAATTTTAATACAGTTGGAGTGGCGATGATATCAACAGCATTACTTTGTGACGCAATAATAGGAAATGTGCAGGAGAAGGCTATGCGAGAGCACAGTGCACCAAGTAGTGAAGTTGTGCTTTACTCGTATGGTCTGGGATTTGTATACTTATTTGTGATTATGATATTAACTGGACATTTTTTCAATGGCTTAAATTTTTGCCTTGAAGTAAGTTATAAAAATATTGATGGTGGTTTTTTTTTTATTAAATATATAATTTTTATCACTCAGCATCCGCGTGAAACATTTGGTTATGGATTTTTATTTAGCCTTTCCGGTTACCTGGGTATTCAATTCGTTTTAGCACTCGTGCGGTCGTCTGGTGCTCCATTGGCAGCTACAGTCACAACAGCGCGAAAAGCAGTGACCATTCTGATATCGTTTTTATTTTTCAGCAAACCATTTACGATGCAGTAAGTATCGATTATTTTAAATATTTTAAGTTCAAAAATTATATCGTCCGTTTATTATTCCTTACAGGTATCTTTGGGCTGGGCTGATAGTAGTGTTTGGTATATATTTAAATGTATATAGTAAAAAGAATAAATTGACTTTCCAAGAGTTAGAACACAGGTCTAGAAAAGTTGTGTACATGTGCAAAAGAGTTTTGTGTTTGTGCAAAAATGTAGGAAAATCTGCAAATCGAAAATTTTTAGTCGAAGTATAGATTTTACTTTAAAGTAAATAGTATATAATTTCGACCGATTCGAATATCAAAGAAAGGACAAAGACAAAAATTTTTTATTTAATTTATTGAAATTTGGCTGATCATACAACGCTGTTTCGAGTATTGCCAAGTACTCTTTATCAGTGGTTTTTGGAAATAATCGAATTTTTATTTAATTAGTTTATAGTCCGTATATAATTTGTTTGAACTGCAAGTGCCAGGCTTAGAATTCGTGCCTGTCAAATTAGAAGCGATGACTAATCGTGTTTATCCACAAATAGCCAAGGCTGCACAAACTTTCAATGCTCAAATTCCAGGTTTTGTCAGTTATTTTTATTTAATTAGTGACATCAACCAAAGCACTTGCCGTGCTTTAAATTAGAACGAGCTTATAAACTACAGCTTTATTTGGAAACACAAGTTCAACGATTGAAAGTTAATCTTTGAGCTTGCCTATTTTTGTTTCAAAGCTATTCTTTTTGTAGAGACATCTGTTATGCATATTTTTTAACTTACTAAATGTAAAGCCCTTTTTTGGGTGCAATTTTACAAAGAAGCTATGCAAATGTTTCTCTACAAGTTCGATAATCGCGTTAAGGAAAAGCTGAACAATATTATTGTTCATATGTCCAATAATTCTAATTTTTAAGGTTAAATTTTTTTGCCGATAATGGCGTGTCTTGTATGGTCAGCCAAATTTCAATAAATTAAATAAAAAAATTGTTGTCTTTGTCCTTTCTTTGCTATTCGAATCGGTCTAACTTTTAAATAGTTTCTTTCGTCAAAAAGACACGCCATTATCGGCAACAAAAATTAACCTTAAAGTATATAATTTAGTTTTTCTTCTTATTTAAGTGTTTTTAAAAATATACACAAATAACAGGCACACGTACCAAATATATGTATGTAAGATACTATTAACAACATTGTAAAGAGATCTTGAAGGTTTTCACCATTTGTTATCGACACGAAATGCGTATGCAATATACATAAAAGTATTTTCTTACAATTGCATTGAATATTTAAGTAACTAAACATACAAACATACATATAGCTTAGTTACTTAAGCCATTAGCTATATTTGTTATATATATACGTATGATTATATGTATCAACTTTAATTTTATTTTTTAGCGTTAATGACAAACTTTGCAATGCTTCAAGAATTTGTCGTAAAAAAATAACAAAATTCGTAACACATTCAAATCAGATTGTACAAATTTTTTTAAATTGACATGACAAGTGAATTTTATTTAATTGTTATTAATATTATATTAAAGCAATGTATTAAATCATTCAGTAAACCTATACTGAAATATAATTATGTTAAATTTTAGATTTAGTTTCTTATGATGAGGATGACGGTAAAAATTGAAACTATATAAAAAATTAAATAAATCATGTATGTAAATAAATAAATGTTTTATGTTTACTTTAATAAAAGATTATTCTATTTCAAATTCCATAACACGTTTTATAAAGTCATTTCTCTCTTTGGCTGAGGCTATATTGCCTACCATTCGATCAAGGACCTGTTGTTGATGTTTGATTATAAATTTGTTACATTGCATTATCGTTGCTCCCGTATATATTGTACAAAACTTTGCACGTACATCTCCGATCTGTAATGGAAAAGATTTACTAATTGATATCACTGATATACATATATTACAATTAACCATACCATAGTTATAAAAGGGAGTGTACTCTGTACATATTTGTGTGACCGATGTGCACAGCGAATAATAGCAATTTTTGTACTGTCATTGCAATATTTTATTCGAAATCCCTTCTCTATTATGCCAAGTCCATAATCACCGTAATATTTTTTAACATTATGTAGAACACATTTGGTAATCACATGATCTTTCATGTGTAAGGCTTTCATTGCGGTAGCAGGTCGTATCTGAACAACTATGTAACTGAAGTATATTAATTTAAGTACCAGTTAAAAATTATTTAATTAATTGCTACACTCACCGGTTCTTCGTGCGTACCATTATTATTTACTTCAAAATTAAAATTCTATTTGTTTAACAATTAATTTTTCAAACCAGGATCTTTAATTCAATTTACTTAATGTTTTTAATACGGTTTTATTTATATTTAGGCATAGAAGTCTTTCTATTTATTATTGACTATTACTATTTAGTATAAACTATTATTAGTTCTTGTGCTTTATTTGAAATTTTATTTTGTTAGAGCCAAAAATAATAAAACCAACAGATATTGTTTATGTTGCGACACGTGCGTAAACAAACATCAGCTGTTCGCAAAGACAGTGATGCCACAGTGGATCTCAAAATTAAAAACACATCAATATCATTGCCCACTGCACTTTATCAAGCATAATCACACTTTTACTGATCAGTGACAAAGATTATCCATAAATTACACATTTTTAATGAATCAGTTATATCTCAGGCACTAACAGTCGATCTCTTTATGAACTACGGATTCTGAACAATATAATAAACACTTTTACTCAATTTCAGCTTAAACAATAGAGCTCGCCAACCTGTGAAATTATTTCTTTTAATTATTTTCATAGCTATAAATCAAAGGTAACTGCTGTTCAAGAAATTAATGAAGTTTCTGTAAAGCATTGTTTTAATAATGAAAAGATTACCTCTGTTTGCGTAGCATCTAAGATTTCAATATCAAATATAAACTCGTCATTTATGTTTTATTAAAGGAAATAATTAAAACGTATGTTGTTATTGGAGCGTTTATTAATAAGTATTCTGCTCTATGTGATCAGCTGTTTCCAGTTCAGAGGTAGAAAACATCTTTGACTTGAATTCAGGCATAATTTAATTTCTTTATCTAAGTTTTTTGTCCCAAATATTTCATTTTTATATAATTCATTATTATATTTATGTCATTTTTTTATATATGCGGAATAGTCTATTCATGAAGGCAGTGTATATTTAAAGTTTTATAAACAATATTAACTTGTATAAACTACTTTAACAGATTTTGAATTTCTTGGATATATTTGATTGCTCTCCTAAAATAATCGGCTTATTGGTTGAATTTATGGTAGCAAAAAAAAAAAGATCAGGATGCATACGCTTTTTAAAAAAATTGCTTTATTTGCATATTATTTTTATTGATATTACAAAGTTTTTTTCTTAAAGAGGTTTTTTCGAACAGTAGTGAACTACAACAACAAAAATTTTATATTTTATATTATTTTAATTAATTGAATTTTTGGCTGACCATACAGCTGTTTCGAGTATTGTCAAATACCCATCATTAGTAGTCTTGGAAATAATTCTTGTATTTAATTATTCGTAAATAATTATTTTTGAGACTGCAAGTATCAGGAATCGAACTCGGGTCCTGCCAAATGTGAAGCTCAGATCACAAAGTTTTTTTTCTTAAAATATAAATTAATTATTTAAAGCATTCCTAGCATACAACTGTATTTTCTTAAGAGTCTCTTAATAAATAACTGTTACTTCATACAAAGTTAGCTTTTATAATATATACTTGCTTAAATTTTTAAACGATATTTCATTAATCTTTTACTGATCTTATAACTATCTTATTGCTATCTTAAGAACTATTTACAAATAACTTACAATTACTATTTATATTTAATATTTATAATTTCTATTCACAACTTATATTTACAAGTTTATTTATAAGCTATTCTTTAATATAACTTTTTCTTGCTATATATTTTTCTCATTCCTGCGCTTGCGCTATAACCCTACTCCCTTTATTATCACTTAATCTCACTAAATTATGTCCTTACTTTCTGGCTTAGATGGACCTAACCCACTAGTTATTAAGCCTATCTGCTTCCATCTCTCTCCCATGATTACTGGAATGAAGTTACCACACTGCTGTGGAAATTTTCTCTATTCATTCCTAAGAGGTGGTATTAATGGGTTCAAGTTTTACGCTGTGGCTTTCAATGCTTTTCACTAATGCAAAAAAGCTTTTTCTTGCTGTTCTTAAAAATTGTGTTAATTCGCACTTTAGCACAGAGGAATAAAAATTTAAGTATTCTTAAAAATCCTACATCTACGAAACTAATTCAGCATTTAGGACTGATTTTCCAATCGTAACTTAAGTCTCAAAACTGATTTAAGTGTGAATTCAGTCAGGACAGTTGATTACTTAAGACTTAAGTTACGACTGTGATATTGAGTCTTGGACTTTTTTTGGTTTTTTGTACAATGTTAATTTAAAAACTATTATATACATATTGATGTCTCTTTTCTTCATAAAAAAAAACCATCGTATGAATGGGGTTCAATTTTTAATCGCTCAATTCAACAGTACCGTAATTAGTGTGCATAAATATAAAGTTACACCCCCTCATTTCTAGTATACGTTAAATTATTACAATACTGACTGACAGACCAGCAGGTAATATCCAAACTGGTATGGGAATGCATTGACATACTCGGCTGGTAGAATCAGTTGCACTTAATATGGATTCCAGAGCATGCTGGTATCTAAGGCAATGATATGGCAGACAAATTTGCAAGAAAAGGCGCGGCCTCAATAATGATAGGCCCAGAAAACCTTTCTGTGGCAAAGAAACTCTTTCCATTCCAATGAATGGCGCAAAAGGAAAATGAAAGAGAACTCTATTGTGAAAGGTTACCAAAACTATCACAATCTAAAATGCTTTTAGGAACTTACAAGCTAAAACGCTTCAAAGATTGCAGAGTACAATCAAAAAACAACCTAAGAATTACTACGGGATTATTGACCGGTCACTGTAGATAAAATAATGACCTAACGAAGTTAGTATTCAATCCAACTCAGACTGCATATACTGTAGAGGAGAGAAAGAAATTGTATACCATGTGTTTTGGGAATGCCCGGCATTGATGCACAAGCAGAAAAAACACTTATGTGGATATATTATGGATCATAAGGATTCAAGACTAGGAAAAATTGGCTCTTTGAAATACTCTAATCCGACTAAGGGTCACAATAGATCTTTTAGATCTAAGATTGTTGCAGTGCACTATTCCTTTCCTCAATAATAATAATAAATTAGATAAATTTGGCTAGATGTTCTTTGGCTTAGATAAACTGTAACTTCTATGTAGTTTAGAAGTCTCAGCTCTTGATTTTAACTCTCCCCCTAGTTACTGGTAAGTAGTTTCCTACAAGATTGAAATATTCTTCAATCATTTCAAGGGGTGGTTGTAATGGGGTGAAGTCACACGTAGCTGTAATCTACACATAGATTCCCTTACAATAACATATGAAGAACCAGAACCGATGTCACTAAGCATTTTTTAATGATTTTTTTAACACATATTTTTATATTAGATTAGTGATTTAAATCAAGACCATACTATAAGGGCGATGCTTCTTCTTTATTTAAAAAAAATTAATTTTAGTTGATCTGGTGTATTGAAGAAAGTTAGCATAAAAATTCTACTCCAACAGGTTGGCTAATCGAAGACGCTAAAAAGATAGTGTTTTATTTGAACCCAAATTGTACGAGTATATAATAATAATTATATATTATAATATAATAGGTGGACTTTTTAAAATTATTAATGCTTACAAATTGTATATTATATTACATAGTAGCATAAATAGACTAGGGTTTGTACTTTACGAGTAATATTATTGCATGTATTAATACCGATTGTAGCATGCATATTCTATATTGT